CGGTGTAGATCAGGGATTGATGAACCATTTGCCCGTGGGCCAGATCCAGCCCACTGCCTGTTTTTGTATGGCCAGTGAGTCAAGAATGCATTTTATATTTTTATATGGTTGGAAAAAATAATATATATATTTTGTGACATGTGAAAAGTATATGAAATTCAAATTTCAGCATCCTTGAATAAAATTTTATGGGAACACAGCCATACTCATTCGTTTTACATTTTTTAGTTGCTGCTTTCACACAACAGTGAAGTTGAATAGTTGTAACAGAGGCCCGCAAAGCCTAAAACATGCATGACCTTGTACAGAATAAATCTGCTGACTCCTGTTGTAGAGGGAAGAAAATGGATGTGTAGTCAATTCCAACTGAATTCAGCTCTAAGACTACACAATGACCTTAGGAAATTATTTAACCTTTCTGAGCTTTAATTCCCTCATCTACTGAAATTGGGTAATAAGACCTGTCCTGTCTTACACAACTGTTACCCGGTATGTCTTATATTACAGAGCTAACACATAGGAGGACTTGAAACATCCCCTTAGGCCTTCATCTTCCCCATCTCTCCTCTTATATGTTGGAGAAATGTCCAAAGCTGACGTAAAAAATCGCGGCTCTGGTTCTGGTCTTTGCCATGTGACCTTAAGCTGATGTACTTAAGCTTCCTTATTTATACAATGGTGCCCATTAATAGTGTAACAATTCGGTTGAGAAAAACAAAACCTCTGGTGAATATGTAGTACCCAGATGATGGAGTGTTCTGAAGTAATTACACAGACCACAGCTGGAGTATTATATTCAGTTTTGATGATTTAATGTTAAAAAAAAAATTGACAGAAGAGGGAGGGTGAAATTATCTTTCTAGACTTCCATTTCCAGCAATTATGGCAGGCAATTAGCCTGAAAGCCTTAGTTACACAACTGTAAGGGAAGTTGGATCAAGTATGGTAAACACCTTTTGAAATGTGTGGCTGACTTTATAGATTGCATAGCGAGACTACTCCCCAGGGGCCAAAAACAGTGGAAATAAAAGTAGCATGATGTCTGGTTGGTGCCGTGACTGCCTGGGAATCAAGACATTTCCTGGTCTCCTGAACCACTGCGTGTAGGTTTTAAAAAGGTTGCACCGTGAGAGGAGGCGAAGTCTTAAGTCCCTGCAAAGTGAGGAGTCGGACTGAAGTCTACACACATACCCAGGACTCTTTTTAAAGAGAGTCACCCTCTTTAAAATAATAAATTTGGTGTGTGGTGGGTTGGGGACGGTCTCCATCCTCTAGTGCTTGTCTTAGCTGGGCTCTGGGTGCACAGAATAAAAGTCATTCCTGGGAATTTGTTACCACACTTTGTTTGGGTTTCAAATTCAGACTACCTGTGTGGTCTTTCATTTTTCCATTAAATTATTCAAGAATCAAATTTTTGAAGTGCTTGGCAGAAGGAAAGAGATTTACTTTCTGGATTGATGCACCTTAAATCAGGCTGCTCAGGATACCCATATAAAACCTGTGATGTTGAGCTCACAATTCAAACTTATAGAACACGGTAAGAGTCAAAAGCAATAAATAACAAGATTGAACCACCAACACCAAGGACTTGAGATAACTGAATTAATAAAAAGAAACTACAAAGAAAGTATATTTACAATTGTAGGCATTTAAGAGAAGGAAGCTAACTTAAAGCAAGACAAAACTTCTAAAAATAAAAAATCCTTGATATTAAAATTTAAGTGTAGAGATAATATAGTATATAGAATTGAAGAGCAAATGGACAAACTTCGCTGACAGTGAAAATGAAACTGAGGAAATTAACCTGAATGCAATAGTGATGGAACATTGAGAGAAGATTCAGTATATGTCTTGTAGAAGTTCTAGAAGAAAACAGTATTAGGAGCAAGGCAATATTAAAAGTGATAGTGACTGAAAATGATAAGACATGAATCTTCAAATACAGGTAATACAATAAACCAAGGAAATAAAATTAACACTGCAGGACAATAAAAGCAAAGAAAAAAATCTTAAAAGCAACCAGAAAGAAAAGATTACTCATGAAAGAATGACAACCTGATGGTAGAACATCTCCATGGCAGCCACAGAAACCAGAAATAATGACTTGAAAATGATGAAAGAAAATAACTCAATCTAGAATTTGTTATCTATTAAATTCTTCAAGAATCAAAGTGAACTAAATCAGTCAAAGACTGGGAGCCTTGAGGATAACAGACTCTGACAAATCTGAAATATGTCCCACACAAATAAAATGAAATTGGATAGATAGAAGTAATATGTAAAAGACTGGTTAGCAAAAAACTTGGTAAAGATCCTGGTAAACCTAAACCAACATGACGTATAAAATCATGGTAAATAATGTCTACTTCGGAGGTTGTGAGGTAAATTGCAGTAATTCCAGAATATCTTGCCTGGCCTTAGCCCACTTACATATACCACTGCAGCTTCTTGCAACCTCTGGGGCAAGGGGTGGGGAGGCTGTTCTTTTCTCCACTGTTGTGTAATTGGTCTGGCACCTGTCAGTCGCCAGGGAGGCAGAGTTCCTCCCAGAAGGGGCGGTGGAGAGGAGAACGGGTGCTGTGACTGCAAGAGATGGGGAGCACCAAGCAGGCTTTGCTAGGGGGTACTGGGAGAAAGCAAAGAGCATGCCATGGAGGTGGGGAGTAAGAATGGCAGCCAGAGGGGATGGATGGAGCTAAGCCTCATTGTGAGCAATAAAAGGGTTTCTCCCAATCTAGCCTTTTGACTGATTTTAGTCACACTGGTTTATTTGCCCCAGGCTGGGAACAGGCTTCTCCTGGAAGTGACAGAGGTTTTGTAATAAAAAGTTAAAACCCAAATGCTGAAAAACAGTTAACAGTAGTTCAGTTACCAGAATTGCAGTATTCTAAAAGCCCTCCATTTAAGTGAGAGGAGAGTACAGGTATCTTAATTAACTTCAGGCTTTAAGTATGGAAGCCAGTATTTTAAGGTAATTGCAAAAGAGTCTAAATAAAATGTATAAACTCCAAAGCTATAGAGGAAAAATGTAAAATATTAATTTAGTAGTAGGCAAGAAAAATGGGGGAAATGACTAAACAAATGAGATTAACATCAAGCACAAAAGATGACAACAAAAAAATCCGCTTGAAATGCATGGAAATTTATTAAATTTACTAGACAGAGATTGACAGATTGGATTTCTAAAATCTAGTTTGAAATACGACACTGTCTAACATTCAGATCTTGGAAAAAATTGAATTTAAAGGGATGGAAAAAAGATCCAGGAGAGTTAACTACTACCAAGAGAAAGCTGGAGTAGCTACACAGACTTCAGTTAAGAAGGAAGTTGAAGACAAAAGGCATTATAAATGGTAGAAAGAGACACTTAATAATGAAAAAGTTTTAAGACACCAGAAGAATTCTAAACTGCTACACACCTAATAGATTTAAGAAAAATTGACAACTAGAGAAATTTTGACAAGTCTATCATCATAATTTTATTTGTTACATACCATTATATGTATTTATGTATTATGTGTTCATGTATCTAAGATAATAACCAAATTGTATTTATCCCAACAATACAAGGACAGTAAAATTAGAAACTCTAGAACTCTAATTGGCCATATTAACAGATTAAGAAGTGTTCAGGGGAGCCATTGGATCTCAATTACTATGGAAAAAAAGAGTGAAATTCAACACCTTTACAAACAGGCATAAAAACTGTTAAAACAATAGAAGGAACCCTTGTACTATTCACCATATAACTTATTCACTATGTAAGAATTTGTTCTCTATGCTTATGCTCCAAGCATAACTTGTTCATTATGCTTCAGAAGATTGGAGACATGAAAATTAGGCTTGGGGGTGGATTAATGATTATACATTAAGCATTGAGTCCCCTATACAGAATTTTATTGTTAACAACCATTTGATCAATAAATAGGAGAGATGCCCTCACACACACAAAAAAAGTACACACTTCCAATTGTAAAATAAATAAGTAACCGGGATGTAATGTATAGCATAAGGAATATAGTCAAAATATTGTAACAACTTGGTATGGTGATAGCTGGTACCTAGAATTATCATGCATATAAATGTTCAATCACTGTGTTGTACACCTGAAACTAATGTAATACTGTGTCAACTACCCTTCAATAAAAAATAATTATCTAAAAAAATAAAAATAAAAATAAACAATAGAAGGAAGTATCCATAACCTGATAAGCATAGCTATAAAAGCTTATTTTTTATTTCCTTTAAAATAAAAAAAAAACATTTCAACACCTTTCTTTCAACTCTCAACTAGTCAAACAAAGTTAGTACAGAGATAGCTTTGAATAACACAAGTTTAGCTCTCATGACAAAGAATTTGGCTCCTGATAAACAGGAATACACAAGTCTCAACAAATATAAAAGAACTAGTTACATACAGTTCATAATCCTGAACACAATACTATAAGATTAACAGTTGTCTTGGCTGACTGTATCAGCCCTGGGCAAGTTCACTACGGATTCGGTGAGGCTGAGAAATGATAACGGAATGTTCTTAGGGTACAAGGGTTTATACCCAGCTGTATTCTCATGGTGGTAGGTCAAGCACTAGAATCATGTCTGCATCCAGCAGTCTGCAGGTCTTTAATATACCTCTGTCTCTATGTCAGCCCAAAGTACTGGGCAGAGCTCTTTATATAGTAACTCAGTCAATAAGAGCTTATTGCCTGTGGGTGTAGAAGCAGAAGCCTAGCAGTAGGCCAGTAACAATCAAGTAGTTTAGAGTCAGGTGAGGACGCAGCCCACAGGAACTTCAATTTTCCCCCCAGCAGTCATTACAAAAAGATACCCTCCCAAAATGCCTAAACTTTTGTAAATTAAAATTAACTAAAATAGGCGCACTGCCAAGACCGGTGTTCTTTTGTGGCAGCCTCCTGAGAGGAAGTAAGGGGCTCCCGCTGCTGAGGTCTTGGATGGTTCCCAAGTTTTCTCCAACTCTCCTAGCAAGTAGCAGGTTCAAGATGGACCGGAAGACCACATGCACTCTGCTAGAGCTTGCTGCAAAGAGTCTGCTGAGTAATGAGCTGGCAGCTATCCATGCCCTGGATGAGCTCCCAAGAGCCCTCTTTGTTCCACTGTTCATTCCTGCCTTCGTGGGCAGGCATAAGGAGATACTAAAGGCAATGGTCAGGGTTTGGCCCTTTCGCTGTCTCCATATCGGGACACTGAGTGTATAAGGGTCAGACTATGACATCTTGGAAGCCATGATTAATGGTCTGCAGCTCCTCTCTGCCCAGAACTCTTCTTCCTGGGGCCCAAAACTGAGGCTCTTAGATTTAAGGCAGGACCTGAACTGTTGCATAATATGCTCTGAGATGAAAACCACATTTTCTTTCTGCTCTTGGTCTTGTGCTAACTCTCAGAACTCTACTCTTAGAGCACCTAAAGCCCAGCATAGCATCAGGTGCCACGGATTTGATAATTCAGAGTCAGAGCTTCACTCAGCCTCGGAAACTGTGGAATTACTTATGGACCTCTCCCTCCATGGAACCTTGAGAACACAGCAATTTCTTTCCTTTCTTCAGAGTAAACTCAGGCAGAGCTCTGGGTCTTTGCACCTCTGCTGCAGAGATTTGGTAATTGATAACATCTCTGCCCACAAAAGTATGCTGCAATTTATCAAAATATTGTAACAACTTGGTATGGTGATAGCTGGTACCTAGAATTATCATGCATATAAATGTTCAATCACTGTGTTGTACACCTGAAACTAATGTAATACTGTGTCAACTACCCTTCAATAAAAAATAATTATCTAAAAAAATAAAAATAAAAATAAACAATAGAAGGAAGTATCCATAACCTGATAAGCATAGCTATAAAAGCTTATTTTTTATTTCCTTTAAAATAAAAAAAAAACATTTCAACACCTTTCTTTCAACTCTCAACTAGTCAAACAAAGTTAGTACAGAGATAGCTTTGAATAACACAAGTTTAGCTCTCATGACAAAGAATTTGGCTCCTGATAAACAGGAATACACAAGTCTCAACAAATATAAAAGAACTAGTTACATACAGTTCATAATCCTGAACACAATACTATAAGATTAACAGTTGTCTTGGCTGACTGTATCAGCCCTGGGCAAGTTCACTACGGATTCGGTGAGGCTGAGAAATGATAACGGAATGTTCTTAGGGTACAAGGGTTTATACCCAGCTGTATTCTCATGGTGGTAGGTCAAGCACTAGAATCATGTCTGCATCCAGCAGTCTGCAGGTCTTTAATATACCTCTGTCTCTATGTCAGCCCAAAGTACTGGGCAGAGCTCTTTATATAGTAACTCAGTCAATAAGAGCTTATTGCCTGTGGGTGTAGAAGCAGAAGCCTAGCAGTAGGCCAGTAACAATCAAGTAGTTTAGAGTCAGGTGAGGACGCAGCCCACAGGAACTTCAATTTTCCCCCCAGCAGTCATTACAAAAAGATACCCTCCCAAAATGCCTAAACTTTTGTAAATTAAAATTAACTAAAATAGGCGCACTGCCAAGACCGGTGTTCTTTTGTGGCAGCCTCCTGAGAGGAAGTAAGGGGCTCCCGCTGCTGAGGTCTTGGATGGTTCCCAAGTTTTCTCCAACTCTCCTAGCAAGTAGCAGGTTCAAGATGGACCGGAAGACCACATGCACTCTGCTAGAGCTTGCTGCAAAGAGTCTGCTGAGTAATGAGCTGGCAGCTATCCATGCCCTGGATGAGCTCCCAAGAGCCCTCTTTGTTCCACTGTTCATTCCTGCCTTCGTGGGCAGGCATAAGGAGATACTAAAGGCAATGGTCAGGGTTTGGCCCTTTCGCTGTCTCCATATCGGGACACTGAGTGTATAAGGGTCAGACTATGACATCTTGGAAGCCATGATTAATGGTCTGCAGCTCCTCTCTGCCCAGAACTCTTCTTCCTGGGGCCCAAAACTGAGGCTCTTAGATTTAAGGCAGGACCTGAACTGTTGCATAATATGCTCTGAGATGAAAACCACATTTTCTTTCTGCTCTTGGTCTTGTGCTAACTCTCAGAACTCTACTCTTAGAGCACCTAAAGCCCAGCATAGCATCAGGTGCCACGGATTTGATAATTCAGAGTCAGAGCTTCACTCAGCCTCGGAAACTGTGGAATTACTTATGGACCTCTCCCTCCATGGAACCTTGAGAACACAGCAATTTCTTTCCTTTCTTCAGAGTAAACTCAGGCAGAGCTCTGGGTCTTTGCACCTCTGCTGCAGAGATTTGGTAATTGATAACATCTCTGCCCACAAAAGTATGCTGCAATTTCTGGATCCACGGTGCATTGATCACCTGCAGGTTAATCAGGCTTATTTGAGGGAAGTCAACTATATTGTGGCTCAGACGGCCCACCTGCACAGCCTTCGTCTGCCTAATATCATCTTTACATATTTTGTGGAGAAACAGTTCCAAACTTTTCTCAACTGTCTTAGGAAGCTGTACAGCCTCCAAGAACTTGACTTGTCTGCCTTGTACCTCAGAGATTGATTGCACAAACTTCTCAGTGTGATGCCACCTCAGCTGGAGATATTTAATCTGTCTCCCTGTGGCCTGTGTAACGAAGATGTCATCATCCTATCCCGGAGCTTTCTGGCCACCCACCTAAGGCAGTTGAATCTCAGTGACAACCAGATATTCTTAGAGGCTTACGAGCCCTTCCAGACTCAGCTGCAGAGGGTCTCGGGTACCCTACAGCATCTGGAAATAAATGTCTGTTAAGTGATTCCACTCTCTCAGCTCTCCTGCCAGCTCTGAGCCACTGTTCGTGCCTCCGTGTCCTTAGCTTTGCCTTCAACCCCATTACAATGCCTGTGCTCACAAGCCTTCTGCATCACCTAACATCCTTAAGGGAGCTGAAGCATGTGATTTATCCCATCCCTGTCCATTGCTATAGGCAGTGGGATGTTCGTGAGTTTGGACCAACAGCAGGTGGCTGAAGTTCAGGCCCAATTGAAGGCAATGCTGCAGGCGGTAGAGCGGGATGACATGCTTTGGACTACTCGTTCTGTGTGATTCCCATAGTACCAGGAGTCATGTCTGCACTGATGTGTGGCCACAAAAGCACTCAGTGTTTTGCTTGAAGGCCTAATTTATAGAGACACATGTAAAATTGTACTCTTCACTGAAACGGGGCTCAGGGTGATTGGCTGTGTCCTTGATATCTGTGAAAGAGGAACTCTAAGAAGGAAGGAGAGAAATTTGGAAGCTCCTGAGAATCTGTTGTCCATTGCCCTGTACTACTTCTGCTTACTAAGTACAGTGTTGGTTACGTGATGGAAGCTATCCCAGTCATGTACCATCACTTCCCAGTGCACAGGGGTGGTTCCATTTATCCTCTTACAGGCCCTTGGCACGAGTCCCATGAACTGAAACTCTCTCTGGCTGTGGTAGTTGTTGAGGCCTATAATTTCACTCTTGAGGGCCCTGAATACTTGTATGTATGATTGCCTTGGGTTGCTTATGAGAAGCCCTATGCAAGGGAAAGGAACCAAACAAACTACCCCCACTGCCTACTGGTGTCTTCGTCATGTTGCTAGCTGCCTCAGCAAGTCTCTGAGACTGGCTCAATTATTTTTACTTCACATGCACTCACCCTGGGTCTATTGTGCTTTAGGTACTGTTCCAGGTGATAAGAAAGATCAAGTCCCTGATCTCAAACCACTCAGAGTAACAGCTGCTCCTATGTTTTGTCCGTTTCTCTACTCTTTCTTAGGGCATTTGGGAAAATAATTCCTCCATGGCCCAGATTTTTGTTCACTTTTTCCCTTACATACAGCTGCTCAACCCTTAGGTCATGGCTTACATGTTACTGTAAGATAAATTCTAGCCGGAATAAGCAGGCAAAGAGAGGCAACAAAGGGCCAGGTAATTTATTTAAATACCCCCAGGTGAGGTTCTGTGGCCTTCTTGCCAGAGGCCAGAGAAGTCACACACGGTTAGGGAGGTGGGGCACTTATAAAGGATTAGGAGGGGGAGGAGTGGGCAAGCTATCCTAGGGGGTGTTGAGAGGTACGATTGGCTAAAGGTGACATAATAGTCAACTAGAAACTTTTTTCTTTCCAAGAGGGAGGAGGCTGACATCCGGGTCTTAGTTGGCACATCAGGTTGAATTCAGGGAGAGCTGTCCCCTTTCCATATATGGCATGGACTTTGGGGTCTGGTCTGTTCTCCCCCTATGGCATCTCTCTGTTCTGTTTGCATGTCCTTGTTTTTCCTTTCTCCAGCCTAACATTCCAGCCTTTTGGTCATAATGGGCGACGACTCAATCTGGCTACTTCCGGCTGACAAGGGGCGTCGTGGGGGTTTGAGGCTGGTATTAGGCTGAAGGAGGGGGTTCAATGGGAGGAGATGAGTAATGGTGAAGTAACATCTGGTTGGTGGTGACTCGGGTCATCTGGGTTAGCTGCTGTTGGAGGAACCTGAGGACACAAGGGGCAACTAAGAGTAAACCACAAACTGTTATTAAGGTGCCCAGTAAGGGCATTAGGCAGGCTATTATAGGGAACTGGAATTCTGGATCGAGTTTACATCTCAATGACTAGTATTAGGATTTAGTATAGATAAGACTGCATTATTGAAACAATACTTTTCTCTAAAATCACCCTTATTTTTATTAGAAGTAGCCAGATTAAGAAAATAATTAACAGTTGGCTTGATTATTTGCATAAGTGCAGCAAGAAGAGTAATTGATTACATAGGCTCTTTTAAATATGCTTTGCTGGAACTTTTTATAAGGAATTTCAGATTGGACTTTTAAAGGCTTCTTGAGGCCAGAAAGCCAAGCCAGACTTGCCATCAGGTTGTGCCTAGAGTACCTGTACATTTGGGTGAATTCCTCTCTTCTTGAGGTTCCCAAGACATTCCTGCCGGGAAGTGACCTTCCTTACTCACCTGGTAAGGCTGCTGGGAACTCTGTAAGCAAGGTACCAGGCCAGTTCTTCCAAGGGGCTTTGTTGGCTTTATAAAGTCAACCTTAGTTCCTTAAAGCCGTCTGTTCATATCTGAGTTTACACACGTCTCTCAGGTATGACATTCCAGTCAAAGCCTTGGTAGTATAACCAGTGATTTTAATTGGATCTCTTACAAGGAAAGCAGATTCTTATTGAACTTATGCAAATAAACATACTGCCATGAAATATAAAAATAGTCACTGAGAGTTTTTAAATTCTGGAGGGATCAGGTAGAAAGATAAAGTTTCAATTCTGCTTATAAAGGCAGTCATTTACTAAACTGTTGTCAGCTTAAGAGAAAAAGATTAAAACACTTTATCAACAACATTTGAAACATGTTGTTTCACTTTATCAACAACATTGAAACATGTTGAAACAAAAAGCAGGAAATTCAGATATTTCTGTAACACAAAACATTCAGTAACAAAGTTCAGCATCATTCCTTTTGACAGTGCCTTCCAGGCAATTAAGCAGGTAATTATATATCAGATAAATAAGCTAAATTAGCCAAATACTTTCTCCAATGAGAAAAAGTTTTTCTAACATGTTCTAGGGGCTCTCTGGAAAATATCAGTTAACTAGAGGCAAAAGCACTTTATTGAATCTGACTTTGGGAAGTTGTTAAAAGTTTTAAGGCACTTGCTTAAATAGGATTATAGGTTGCTATGAAGCAATACTTATCCAATTAACTAGAATGACAACAAAGTACTTCAAAGGCAAATAAATAAGGTTACATAGTTATTATCAAAGTCTTAAAAGATTTATCAGATAACATTGACTTAAATGACCTTAGGTAAATTTAGGCAGCTGATAACACAACAAGGACATGTCCGCTTCAGCAGCTAAACTCAAATTAGCATTAATGTTTAACATTTTTTACTGGATTCTCTGGAAGTTCCAGAATGCCCAATCTTCACAAGCGCTTGTTTTTAAATAAAATATTTTTCATCTATACACCTAGACACACAAACGTACAAACTGAGATACAATGACTACAGTCAGCAACACTTTTTTCATAAAAACATATACACAGATAGACAAACTGATACAAAGACTTAAGTTACTGATATCTAATTGCCCTCTCTCTTCTCAGCTTCTTGTCTGTGGCTTCTGGAATCAGAGGGCGGAGGGGCGTGTTCTGGTGAGGGAAGAGGGCGGTGAAGGTGGAAGGAGAGGGGGAGGGGGTGGTGCAGCCACTGGAAGAGGAGAGCAGGACAACTGCATGGTTGAGAATGTAGGACTTTAAGATGGAGGCGACACGTGTGAAGACAAAGGATTTAAAGATAGTGGTGGAAAGAAGGGGAGGGGATTGCGAGCTGAGGGAGGCGGGCGACTGAGGTTTTCTGGCGAATCTGAAAAGGAAGGACTGAGCAGAGTAAGAGGCTGACAATCTTTTAACTGGAGATTGGGCCAGGAGAACCTGAGTTATAGAACACTTAACATAAAGGTTTTTGACGGGAGTGCAAAGTCCAAAAATCCTGCACATATGGGATTTCATTCTACTTTCCGCTCCAGTGGCAATAATTAGTTAAGTCGGTGAGGAGGCTAAAATTAAAAGTTCCCTCAGGGGGCCAGCGAGATTGGTTGTCCAAGGGATACTGAGGCCCGGCCTCAGAGCAAAGGAAGACTAACTTGTTTGCGGACTTCCCGGGACAAACAGAGAGTAGCCAGATTAGAAATGAGACACAGGAGCGGGGTCTGAGCCTCTGCTTTCATGGGCTGGTTTCCCATGTCTGCGTTCACTCCCCCAAAAAAAATCCCGCTGAGAAGCGCCCAGCGTCCCAAGTACACCAAGTCAGGGGAGATGGCCTGGGAGCCTGGGTGAGGGACGTCTCCCCCACCACAGGGCCAGGGGCAAGTATCCCGGATACTCGCAACAGATGGGCTGAATGCCCAGACCTGGACTTAGCTACGATTTCGGACGGACCAGGTGAAATGGAGTTAGGAAGGGAAGCAGACCGGGGGAAACTGAGGGACTCACCAGAAAATAATCTACGCAGCGGAGAGCAGGCTGAGGTCCCGGGTTGGGGAAGGAGGGGGCGGGGCTTCCGGTGGCCAGTCGGAGCCTCGCGCTCACACTCCCCCCGCGTTTTGGCACCATATGTAAGGTCAATTCTAGCCGGAATAAGCAGGCAAAGAGAGGCAACAGAGGGCCAGGTAGTTTATTTAAATGCCTCCGGGTGAGGTTCTGTGGCTTTCTTGTCAGAGGCCAGAGAAGTCACACATGGTTAGGGAGGTGGGGCACTTATAAAGGATTAGGAGGGGGAGGAGTGGGCAAGCTATCCTAGGGGATGTTGAGAGGTATGATTGGCTAAAGGTGACATAATAGTCAACTAGAAACTTTTTTCTTTCCAAGAGGGAGGAGGCTGACATCCGGATCTTAGTTGGCACATCAGGATGGACTTCAGGGAGAGCTGTCCCCTTTCCATATATGGCACGGACTTTGGGGTCTGTTCTCCCCCTATGGCATCTCTCTGTTCTGTTTGCATGTCCTTGTTTATCCTTTCTCCAGCCTAACAGTTACCTCCTCAGCTAGGTTTTCTCTTACTTCCCCATTTAAGTAGGCATTTACTTGCTATTGGTCTCAATGTGCCATGTGCATGAATATTCCTTCATGGTATATGCTATTTCAAATTTGTTTGCTTCCTGTGATCTTCCACTAGGTTTGCACTGCTCTCGATAGTACACACTAACCACACGTGGCCACTGAGCACTAGAAATCTGGCTACTCCGAAATGTGATGTACTCTAGGTGTTAAATACACACCACATATCCAACAGTAAGAAACAGGACGTAGAATAACTAATTGATAGTTTCTTTATATTGCTTACATGTTGAAAGGATAACATACTGCATGTCAAAGACAGGGAAAAAAGAATGTAAATTGTTTATATTTACCTGTTGAGACGGTAGTATTGTATTTCAAAGATTTAGTGTGAAAACGACTAATGAATGATCTGTTTATGATTACATGTCAGAATGATAAA